GCAGTGGCACAATCTCAGCTCACTGCAACCTCCACCTCCCGGGTTCAAGCAATTCTCCTGCCTCAGCCTCCCGAGTAGCTGGGACTACAGGTGCATGCCACCACCCCCAGCTAAGTTTTGTATTTTTAGTAGAGATGGGGTTTCACTATGTTGGCCAGGATGGTCTCAATCTCTTGACCTCGTGATCCGCCCACTTCGGCCTCCCAAAGTGCTGGGAATACAGGCGTGAGCCACCGCACCCGGCCTACACTTGAAATCTTGACTTTAGTTTCCTTCTCCACATTCTAAACATTTGTTTCTTTCCAGCTCTATGAAAACAATTCAAAAAGGCAGAAATTCTCGAATACACTGCCTTCCAAGTGAATGGAACTCAAGTTGTTGATTTCCTTTCATTACATCATCTCACTGTAGCATGACAACAAGTGAAATGCAGAAGGACATTAATCATTGAAGAAGAACTCAAAGTTCTAGATTTTTAGTTTAGGCTTTGTAGCTGTGGCTCACACTTGCTCAGAATACGGCTACTGCCTATCTGCTTGTACTCTGTTTTGAATAGTAGCCAAAATGTTTATAAAAGTTTGGAACTCTTGCTTGGAAATGCGCTTCACAAAATTATAATTATTTTTATCAAAAACACTACATGCAAACCTAATATGGGGTTTAAGATCTGACTTTCTTCAATGCTTAAGGTTGCACTATATTCTTTGGGTGGTAACATCAGCTCTCTCAGCACTCTAGGCTGTCTTTTATTTTAGTTTACCAGACTTGCACCTGGGAAATTATTGCTTTAGGTCAGGGTGATAAATAGTATTTCTAGAATCCTGAGCAAGTTAGTGCATCTTTCTTATGTTTTAGAATAGTCATCCCTAAAAAACTGGAGCACTAGGGGCATGCATTTCCTTGGGAAAAAAAACATAACATTAATTGGTTTAGAATAAATGCACAATGGCATCCCAATTTTCTAATTATTTAGATGAGAGAAGCTAAAGAAAATACAAGAGAATTCAATAGTCACTGACCTTCTGTTATGGCTCTAATATTTGCTAGTTTTCAGAGAATTGTGAAATTATAACCTTATTCAGATTTCACTTTGAAATTTTTGTAATCAATTATTTTATTTATTTTTATTTTTTGAGACGGAGTTTCACTCTTTTTACCCAGGCTGGAGTGCAATGGCATGATCTCAGCTCACCACAACCTCTGTCTCCTGGGTTCAAGCAATTCTCCTGCCTCAGCCTTCCGAGTAGCTGGGACTACAGGTGTGCGCCACCATGCCCAGCTGATTTTTTTTGTATTTTTAGTAGAGATGAGGTTTCACCATGTTTGCCAGGATGGTCTCGATCTCTTGACCTCATGATCCACCCACGTCTGCCTCCCAAAGTGCTGGAATTACAGGCGTGAGCCACTGCACCCAGCCTTACTTTGAAAATTAAAATGGTGAACTACCTCATTTTCATTTGATTTGTGAAGCTGAAACCATTGACAGGGTTATTTTAAAAATATGATATTTGAGAAAATTTTGCTTTCCTGAAGAAATGAACCTAACAAATTTTTAAAAAAGTTTTAATTGTGGGATCTAAAGAGAAATAACAGCTATAAAATAGGCTTGATTTTGGTGTTGATCATTTTCATATATTTTTCTCTGTTAATATTAATTGAAGGATTTTTAAAATAAATTAAGACAATATCAAACATAAGAACTGATATGTACTATGCTGAATTAGAATAAAGAAAGTAGCACAAATTAAGAATAACTATGCGGAGGTGAGATAATGCCTATAAAATACATGAGTGGTCCTGTTTGACTATTTGAGTTGTGTGAAAGTAGAAATGAGATGGCTGATCAGACTCCTTAACTTACTATTTCTATTATTTCCTTGACAACATTCAAAAACTAAGATTAGATGACTTATTGAGCCCAATGTTTCAGACAATATTAAGCATATTCAGGCATTATTGAGTGATATATATATATATATATATTTTTTTTTTTTAACTTTTATTTTTATTTATTTATTTATTTTTTGAGACAGGGTCTTGCTCTGTCACCCAAACTGGAGTACAGTGGCATGATCATGGCTCAGTACAGCCTGGATCTCCCTGGCTCAAAGAATTCTCTCTGGTCAGCCTCCTGAGTAGCTGGGGCTATAGGCATGCGCCATCATTCCAGGCTGATTATAATATTCTTATTTCTTAGATCAAGTGTTAAAATCTCTTGTGGAACTTTAAAAACAAACCTATTCCTGTGCCCAGCCAAGTGATGGATTTATTGCTCTGGGATGGGATTTATGCAATGGCATTTTAAAAACCCTTCTCAGGTGATACTAATATACAGTTAGGATTGAGAATCTTTGGCTTATAACTCTTATCATTAGTTTAGGGGCCAAGGGAAAAAGTTCCCCCTCACTCTCTGAAGGTTTGCTGAAAATCAACTGACAAAAGATAGATTAATGGGAGAAAAGAAATACAAATTTATTTTTTCTGCCACATGGGAGCCTTCAGAACAAAGACCTAAAGATACAGAAGAAACTGTCCTTTTTATGTTTATGTTCAACTAAACATGGGCAGCCGTACAGAAATATGATTGGACAAAGTTTTTGATCTTATACTAATGGATCAAGTAGGGTGGCCCAGCAAGGTCTGTCCAGATTCTTCTTGGCCTCTCCGTGTAGTATTTCTTCCTTCTTGATATGGGACAGGAACTTCTCTGGAATGGGGGTCTTATGACCTCCAATCAAACAAGGTGGGTCAGAGAATTTCTTTATGGCCAGTTGTTATACAGAAGAACAGGGGCACTCGGTAATATTTTTAGGTGTTATTGCTGGCTTTGGGGAAAAGAGGTTCTTGTTTCTATAACCCGCCTTTGGAAAGAGGGATTCTAGTTTCTACAGTTGGTCTCATGGGAGAGTGAGAGGCCAGAGATAGGAGGGCAGGAGAAGGTCAGAGAGAAGCTTTTGCTTCTGAGGCCTTCACGTGGCATATTGTAAGTCAAAGACAATGACTGAGGTGAGTCTCAATTACTTTTGGAGACTTATCTTGCCAAAATTGAGGTGCACATGGAAAAAGGAACACAAAATCACCAGAAGCATCTATGATCCATGTTACTTTACAAAGAGGGTCTGGGGACTTCTGTATTTAAAGGGGAAAGAGGAAGGGGAGAAAAAGGAAGGGTAGATAAAAGAGGCAAGTGATAGCATTCCTTTGAGTCTCTATTTAGTGTTCACTGAACCCACATTTTATATGTGAAAGGAGAGGGTAGAGGAATAGTCAACTATGCATTTGTCTCATGCTCAGTGAATCTGCATTTTCACATACGATAAAGTAAACACGAACCAGAGAAGGCTGTCAGACATGCGTCGATCTCAGGTGAGGAGAGAGATGACTTTTAGTTCTGTCCTTTGTCCTGAACTTGTGAAGGTAAGCTGCTAATTTACATTGTGAGGGTGAAATTCACCCACACTGTTTTATGGTAAGGATCTCAGGGCCCACAAGGAATTTCCCTGTGAGAAAATTGTGAGGGTGGTATGCAACCTTTTGTCCTTGTAGCTATCTTTTTAAGAACAAAACGGGAGGTCAGTTTGTGTGACCCAGTTCCTGGGTTGAATTTCCCTCCAGTTTAGTGAGTTTGAGGTCCCAATATTTTATTTTCCTTTCACAGTATACATTTAACATTAAAAAAAATGAACAAATCAGCAAAAGTAAAACAAACTTGCAGGATTATCTGTGAAATGTATGGAAGTCCATCAGGCAAGGATGCTAGGGTAGCTACCAAGCCTTACTAGTGCAGGGTAAATTGCTTTTCTGAAACCATTTCAATAACTTTTTACTTTAGCAGCTAGTACATCTGTTTTTAAATATAGAACAAAGTGTTTTCCAAAGCAACAGTTCTTGAAGTGTGAAATGAAGTTACTCTCCAGAAAAAATGTTTGATTTGGCGTATTTCTCTCGGCATGATTTACAAGTATATTTCAAACCTCTAATCTTCCCCAAATCTTTCAGTACTGTGAATGACAGCCAAAAGAATTTAGCATAATCATGTATAATGTATGACTAAATGTGTCACAGTAGATATTAAGAGCCTTCTGAAGTTGTAGTATGAAGCCCACTCTAGTACATCTCTTCCAGATCACAAAAAAAGCAAAATCTATTTTGTGCAGACATGATTATGCAATCGTAAGTGTGACTAAGAAGCCTGTATGTGTGTGTGTGTGTGTGTGTGTGTGTGTGTAAACAAATGCCTACCACCTATCAATCACGTCAATAAGTGTAATTTTTCAGGGAGAATACGTTTTCTAGGGTACTCTGCCATACCAAGCTGCATAATTATTGTAAAAGTGAATGGACAAAAATTCTCTATTCTTCTTTCTTTACTTTCTCCTCAATTTATAATACTTTACATGTTAGTGTTTATAGATCTCCTCATTGAAACATTTCAGTTTATTTCTTAGGACTCAGGTTTTTAAAAACCATTTTACTGAGTTTTAATCTATATGCCACATGCTTCACCAATTTGAAGTGTACAGCGCAGTGGTTTTTAGTATATTTACAGAGTTTTGTAACCTTCATTACAATAAATTTCAGAATAGCTTCTTCACCTCCCAGAGAGAAATCCTATGCCCATGAACTATCACCCCTCAACCTCCCATCTGCACAAGCTCCAGGCAACCCAACCACTAATCTACTTTTTGTCTCTGTAGATTTGCCTCTTCTGGACATTTCATCATTCCAGTGTGGGCTTTTTATCTGGATTCTTTCACTTAGCATAGTGTTCTCAAGGTTTCTCTACTTTGCAGCACATATCAGTACTTCATTCCTCTTTATGGTTGAGTTATATTCCATTTTATAGACATGTAAATTTTACTTATCCATTCATCAGTTCATGGACTTTCGATGAATTTTTAATAGGAAGAAACTGTTAAAAAGTTGAAGCTACTTTATTTCTTTAACATGGAGAGAAACACCTATGTCTTTCATTCCAGGTAGAGGTATCACACCCAACTATGAAGATCAGCATCCTGCTCATGTTCTTTTGGGGATTATCCTGTGCTCTCCCAGTAAGTATGAGGGTAGGAATATATGAAAAAAACCTTTCCATAATTAAAACTTCACAGTTTTCATTGGCTATGAACCAAGATGGCTGTGTATGTTCCAGTCCAGTAAAAAGGGTACTTTCTTGTAACGCTGTGTTTTAAAAAATATCATTGAAGTTATTTCTTACTCTGTTCAGTTGCCATTCATATAGTTATCTCTCATATTTTTCTTCTCTGTAAACAGTGGTTCTTAAAGTGTCATCCTGGGACCAGCAGCATCAGCATCAACTAGGACCTTGTTAGAAATCCCAGTTTGGCCAGGCGCAGTGGCTCATGCCTGTAATCCCAGCAGTTTGGGAGGCTGAGGCAGGTGGATCACGAGGTCAGGAGTTTGAGACCAGCCTGACCAACGTGAAACCTTGTCTCTACTAAAAATACAAAAATTAGCTGGGCTTGGTGGCACACACCTGTAATCCCAGCTAGTCAGGAGGCTGAGGCAGAAGAACTGCCTGAACCTGGAAGGTAGAGGTTGCAGTGAGCCAAGATCATGCCACTGCACTCCAGCCTGGCAACATACTGAGACTTTGTCTCAAAAAAAAAAAAAAAAAAAAAAAAAAAAAAAAAAAAAAAAAGAGAAATCCCAATTCTTGGGTCCTACCTCAGAGCTGCTTAACCAGACACTTTAGGGATAGGGAACAAATCCGTATTTTAACAAGGCCTCCAGATGATTCTGATGCAACCTAAAATTTGACTATCTCTACTCCTATGAATGAAAAGTGTTAATAACTATTGTTTCAGAAATTTCTCTTTGGATTTACCATTTGTACTACATTTTCTAGGTGGCCAGGTATCAAAATAATGAATCTGACAGTTCTGAGGAATGGAAGGTGAGTAGAAATAGGACTTCTTGAAATATTTCAATTTAGTGTATTATGAGTATAACCAAATTGACTTCATTGCAAATGTTGAAACTGCTAATGACTTAATGAGCATATTGATAAGCTAAGCTATAGAATTCATAGAAGAAAAGAATACTGCAATTCCAACTTAGTAGTATACTCTGGAAAGGAAGCATGTTTTCTCTTAGCTTTCTGCTTGTAATGGACATGTATAATAGTGCCAGGCGATGGATGGCAATGAACCAAGACTTTTCAGGAGAGATTAGACTTGAAATTTGTTTTAACAAGAGTTATCTGGTAGGCAAGAGGTCAAGTCCCAGGAGGTAAGAAAAGAAAGAAGAATGAGAGGACACTAGAGTCTCTGGAATAAGAGCTAATGTTGCTAGAGTGTTGACTGTCATTAACCCAATCATTATTAACTCTCAGTAACTCAAGAATCATTTCCAGGCACAGTTCTGAGTGTTTTACATATATTAACTTTATTAATTTTCACACCTCTGTGAATTAGGCATTATATTTTATTATCTACACATGAGAATACTGAGTACAGAGAGTAACTCAATCTGTGCAGGTTACATGGTTAGTGTTAGAGTCAGACTTTGATATTATATTACTCTAGCTCCAGAATCCACATTCTTAATCAGTGTCTTATATTCCTCTCAGGAAGGAACTGGCTCTAAGAGGTCCAAAAATTCTCAAGATTGGCACCAAGGGTTAAAATCTTATGCAAAATCAGAGCAATTTGTTCACTACCTTGTTTCCTGCTGGCTTTTACATATGATAAAGCTTAGGCCCAATGCTTTTGGTGGTGGCCAGATAATGCCAGAGACCTGAGACGGGGTCCTGCCCTTGCCCGAGTCTGGAATACACTTTGCAGTATTCATTATGAACTTTCTTCAGAGATAGCCATAGGCTGGTTAATTTAAAAGCAGACACTGTAGATCCTCTCTCTCATTTAACCAGAGACACACAAACAAGCCCTGTTCTCAAGTCTAGCCTTGGCATGAGAAAAATAACAATGTCTTGCTCCCTTCCACCCATTCATTCCAATCATTGGAGCAGAGCCTGCCATTGTGCCTGCCTGCAGTGTCGCAGGCCAAAGACAGAGTGACGATACCTCCTTTCTCTAAGGAGATATCCCCAGTCCAGCACCGCTGAGACTCACATTGAAGACAGGTCAATAGCAGCTCCTCCCTGCTCTACTTTGAGCCTTGGGTGTTCTACATAGGACTTTGCCCTCCTCAAGGGGATAGGGGAGAGGCGTTGGGGAGGGGTGTCAGAAGTTGCTAAGGCATTCTTACAGTGTTTATGAGACTAAAGAAAGTGAAATAAATCAGAAGGATGACTAGTTAAATTTCTGATTTAGCATTTGTTTTTAATACCAGAGCGTTTACATGACTCAAGAAAGGTTTAATGGCTTTCTCAATTCAGTTTTGTTTACTATGAAATTTTATAAGGTGGATATTCTCAAAGTGGATTATTTCTTTAATTTATATCATGTTGAACAGTTTTCGAGATACTTCCTTAGGCATTAGCTGGTTTCATCCTTGTACCTACCTTGTGGGGCAGGCACAGTGGATGTTAATTTTCTTAATTTATGAATAAGAAACTGACAGTCAAACACGTGAAATGAGTTGCCCATCTTCACCTAGAGTAACCAACCATCTCACTTTATCTGGGACTTAGGGGTTTCCTGGAACACATACATGACTTTCAGTGCTAACACTAAGATGATTGGTTTTCAGGGCTAAAACCAAAACCAGTGAGTTGGTTATCTGAGGCGTAAATCTGGATTCTGAGTTTCAATGCTGCTTTTCCTCTATTACATTTCCTCTAGGTTGTATGAACAGCCAGGTTCAAAGAAAGCATGTTTATTTCTATAAACAAAAATTCAGAAATATAAAAATGGTCTAGATCTCTTATATCCCAAGATTTTTTTCAAGCCATTAGTCATTTTACCTTCTTTTTTGAACGATCTCTTCATAAAATTTCATTATTACTCATGTAAATGTAAGATCTCTACCAAGAAACTAAAAATAATCACCTAAAATTATTCTAAATAATTTCAATAATGAAATCCATCTGTGAGGGAATAATTTATTTTCCTTCCTTTCCTTTTCTGCAGGATCATTTGGGTCAGGCACCAACTCCACCCTTGGTAACTATCTCATTTATTTTTGTCATAAACATCTCATGAAGTAACTTTAACACTCTTCTCATTGCCTTTTACAATTTTGAAAGTAGTAAATCCAGACTGCAAGCAATTAATGTGTATCACTTTTTTTCTTTCCTGAGGAATTACTAAAAAGAAAAATAAATTTTCCCCTTTCAGGAGAGCACTGAGTCATCAGAAGGACGTAAAGTTAGCTCAGAGGAACAGGTAATTAAACAGACCTTTCTTAACTTTTCAGACTACTTAGGAGTGGAAGGAAATGATGTTAGATTAAATTACCTGGAAACAGTTCTAAATATAATAGTTTTCTAACTATGAGTTATGTTAGCTAAAGAGTCCCGTAAAATAAGAAGAGAAAAATGAATAAGGAGAATTCACATGTAGACATGCTATTCATCTTATTTTCATCACTGTGGCTAGATTGTTAGCATTGTGGCCCTAAATGTCTCTCCTAGTTAAAATACACACACACACACACACACACACACACACACACACACACACACAGAGTCACAAATGGTCATTGACCATGTCAGACTTACTTGTCAACTTAAAATGTTGCTTTTACAATTCGAGCAGTTCATATTAGGTGAGGAAGTGCCTGGGAACTTCTCTGTGTGAAGGATCCTGCTTGAAGACAGGACAGTAGGATCCTGAGGAAACGTTGATGAAAACAGCTGCTTTAGTAGTGACTTTCTCTTTCAAATAGTCCCGTCTGCAGGACTGTGCTCTGGAGTGAGAAAGGCAGACTTAGTGTATATCCCTTAAAACTGGCATTCTTTTTCATTTTTCTAAGACTAAGTGTTAGTTTCTTGACTATGCTACTGTTTTGACTGAACTCAATCCTGTGGGGCTCCAGAGAGTCCAGGAGCCAGGCTTCTCCCCAAGGCTCTGATCTATGCTGCATTCCACACTTAGCCAGAATTGGAAGATGAATTATTAGGTTGTTCGTCCCTATTTACTTAAGGTTATCAAAGGAACATTCTAGAAATTTAAAAGCATAGAACTGGGGAAATGCTCTTTGCCAGGGACTTTGTGATTTGTTGCCTCAAGGGTCTCTAAGCTCTGAGGTGAGGGTAGCAATTCCTTCTTGAGAAAGGGTTAATAAGGTACGGTGATTCCTGCAATTTCTGCTTGTGAGTTGGGTTAATGAGGCATGGCAGGTTAAACCCTTTCTCGTTTCCACCATACCAGCATAAAACTCCAGTGCTAGGAGGAGATGTCAGTAACTTATATACAAGTACTTTCAATTATAGACTCTGACATTGATCCATAGCGACGTGTAGAAAAACAAAGAAACAAACTAGCAGGTGTGCTCTGTTTAGGGTATCGTAAAGACAGCAGATATTTTGAGAACATAATATATGAAGACTTACTGGCCTTCCTTACCAGTGCAGAGAATCCAACTGTTGTACATACAGGGCTCACCTCTCTGACTTCCCACTTAGCCCTAAGCTACTTGGTGGTTACACTAGTTAGTGTCTTCTGATGAATCATCTACAGGCAACTTCCTGGTTGTATTAATGAGGTAGAAACATGGTTTGGGGAGGTATATACCTTACAGTAATCCTTTATTTTTATTTTAGATGAAGATTTCATCCTCCTGTCCTAGCACATTTTTCCCCCCAGAGGAAAAAAGTTGGGGTCATTTTAAGATCACTCAGTATTTTTAAAAACTCTGTTTTACACCAAACACTTTGATGAATGAGCATTATAAACCAACTCTTTAATTCACAAACAGTTATCTAAGAGTTTCTTCTTTCTCTCTCTCTCTCTCTTTTTTTTTTTTTTTTTGAGATGGAGTCTTGATCTGTCACCAGCCTGGAATGTAGTGGTGCAATCTCGGCTCACTGCAACCTCCACCTCCCGGGTTCAAGCAATTCTTCTGCCTCAGCCTCCCAAGTAGCTGGGACTACAGGCGTGTGCCACCACATCCAGCTAATTTTTTTTTTTTTTTGTATTTTTAGTAGAGATGGAGTTTCACCATGTCGGCCAGGATGGTCTTGATCTCTTGACCTTGTGATCTGCCCTCCTTGGCCTCCCAAAGTGCTGGGATTACATTCTTAAGCCACCATGCCTGGCCCAAGAGGTTTTCTTAAAAGAAACTATATGTACAATATGATTTGAGTTTCATAAATGTGATTTTAAGAAAGGTTTTAGAGAAAATGTTGGCAGCATCGAGTGAAGTGTGCTTATATAAAATGGAACCACTTGAGTTTCAACTCCTCTTCCTTCCTATTTAAGTTTTGGTAGAGATATTATTGAGCAGTAAAAGTGACCATGGGTTAGAGGGGATGTAGGAAGAAGGAAGCAGAAAGACTGGACAGGCTCTAGATAACTCCTTCTCTCTCAGTTCCTGGAGTACTGATCACATCTGTTAACCCCAAATTCTAGGCAAATGAAGACCCCAGTGACAGTGCTGAATCAGAAGAGGGGCTGGGCTCTGATGATCGTCAATACATTTATAGACCAACTGGTGGCTTCTCCAGGAGCACAGGGGAAGAAGGATATGATAAAGATGATGATGAAGATGACAGTGGAGATGACACCTTTGGCGATGATGACAATGGCCCAGGGCCCAAAGACAGACAAGAAGGAGGAAATTCCAGACTGGAAAGTGATGAGGACTCTGCTGACACCACACAATCCAGTGAAGAGGGCACCCCACAAGGGCAAGACAGTGCCCAAGATACCACCATTGAGAGCAGGGACCTTGACAATGAGGACCAGCTGGACAGCAGGCCTGAGGGAGGTGACTCCACTCAGGAGAGTGAGAGTGAAGAGCACTGGGTGGGCGGTGGCAGTGATGGGGAGAGCAGCCATGGAGATGGCTCTGAGTTTGACGATGAGGGAATGCAGAGTGACGACCCAGACAGTATCAGGAGTGAGAGGGGGAACTCCAGAATGAACAGTGCAGGCATGAAATCAGAAGAATCTAGAGAAAACAGTGGGCAAGCAAACATTCAAGATTCAGGTGACAGCCAGTTGGTGAAGCATCCTACTAAACAAATGTTTGGAAAGTCTCACATCTCAGAGGAAGATGACAAAGGTGAACTTGATGACAACAACATGATGGAAGAAGTCAAGAGTGACTCTACAGAAAACAGCAACTCCAGAGAAGCTGGCCTCAGTCAACCCAGGAGAGACAGCAAGGGTGACTCTCAAGAAGACAGCAAGGAGAATCCATCCCAGGAAGACAGCCAAAACCTAGATGACCCCAGCAGTGAGTCCAGCCAAGAGGCAGACCTTCCATCCCAAGAGAGCAGCAGTGAGTCTCAGGAAGAGGTGGTGAGTGAGTCCAGGGGAGATAACCCCGACCCCACAACCAGTTATGTAGAAGACCAGGAAGACAGCGACTCCAGCGAAGAGGACAGCTCGCACACACTTTCCCACTCTGAAAGTGAATCCAGAGAGGAGCAAGCAGACAGCGAATCTAGCGAGAGTCTCAACTCCTCGGAGGAAAGCCCGGAGTCTCCCGAGGATGAGAACAGCTCCAGCCAGGAAGGCCTCCAGTCTCACAGCGCCTCAGCAGAGAGTCAAAGTGAGGAAAGCCAGTCTGAGGAAGATGACAGTGACTCTCAAGACAGCAGCAGATCTAAAGAAGATAGCAACTCCACGGAGAGCAAATCAAGCAGTGAGGAAGATGGCCGATTGAAAAACATTGAGGTAGAAAGCCGGAAATTAACAGTTGACGCCTATCACAACAAACCCATTGGGGACCAAGATGATAATGACTGCCAAGATGGCTATTAGCATCAACTGTCTTAAGAAGTGGCTGTCACCTAAAGGAGCCTTGGGAGTTTGAAAGTATCTCATGATAACTATAATTTATTGATGTTTTTACCAAACGAATAACCAGATGCCATTTTTTTTTCCTGAAAGGAATTGCTGGACATTACACTTGTTTCTAGGATGTCATCATTTCGTAGAGGTTTAAATACTGTGGAGTGACACCAGAACCCATCCAAAGAGGCTAGAAGCAAGAAAGGATCTGTACGATATCTTTGCCGCTGAGATAGTTCTTAACTCATCAACCTAACAAACAAAGCTATTGGAGGTCCACGATATACCAGGCACTGTGCTAGGTGTTGGCAATGTAAAGCAGGTGAAGACTTGTTTCTTGCTCCTGAGGAGCATATAGAGGAATCCATAAAGCCACAGAGTTAAAGAGGGGTACGTATAAGAGAAACGAGAATTGTTACAACCCAGTATGGTGAGTACCAAGACAGAGCTATGACCATGATATCTATCTGGGAGCACTGAGAAGGGTGACCAATGCCTTGGAGAGAAGAGGAAGGGCTTCATAGCAGAAGACACTGGAGTTGCAAGGTTGCATAGGGTTTCCTCATTGGAGACTGGAGATTTCTATTCTTGGGATAAATAATAGTTACTTCTATAGGATTAAATATTTTCTTTGCAAGATCACTTTGAAATTATGGCACAGTGAGTTGTTTTAGATAAGAAAATCTTTTCTTCCCAATTAATTTAGTCAATTCACTATTTTTTATTTTATTTTTATTTTTATTTTTTTTTAGAACTCCCATAAACATCACCTTACTGATCACCAGTGATGATATGAAGGAGTGGGAGAAAGAAATTCCTTTTACATAGATACTTTTCAGCTTTATTTTTTTAAAAATCAGTTTATGTGCAATGCTAGAAAAAAACTGTTCTGAGTCCTTTACAGAGAAAAATTCTGTATATAAGATTCAACTGATTTTTGCCAGATACCATTTGAAATGTTACCTCAACATAAAATACTTGTTTTACTTGTTTTGTAATAAAGATTATAATGCAGTAGGATATAGTTATGTTAAGCAACTCTTTCTTTAAAGCGTTCCCGAATAGTTCATTACCTTCCTCCTATTAAATGAAAGATTTTCTTAAATTAGTTCCTGAAAATTGTATTTGTAATTCAGGTAGCACTTTGATAAAAGTACTATGTGTTGCTTATGATATTTCACTAATTATATTGTTACAGAACAGGGAGAAAAAAATGAAGCAAACTCTCAACTTTTGTTTGCGGCCACACTAAAAGTTCATCGTGTTTAGGCTTAACATTTCCTGCTAGTCTCTCAGATTCATTTGTGTAAGTTCTCGAAGGTACGGAGAACCTTATTCCTTATATTTTTATTTCTTTGAAAGAAACAACTTCATCTCAGTACTTCTACTTTACAAATGTGTTTTTACCCACACTTCCACAAGAGTACATCAGAACTCCCTGACAGAATCATTAAAAGGATCAAGACGACTCCCTGGCCAGGCTTAGTGGTTCATACCTGTCATCCCAGCACTTTGGGAGATGGAGGCAGGTAGATCAGGAGTTTGGGACCAGCCTGACCAACATCAGCTCTACTAAAAATAAAAAATGAGCCAGGTGTGGTGGTAGTCCCAGCTACTCAGGACGCTGAGGCAGAAGAATCACTTGAACCCTGGAGGCGGAGGTTGCAGTGAGTTGAGGTCATGCCATTGCACTCCAGCCTGGGCGACAAGAGTAAGACCCTGTCTCAAAAAAAAAGAAGAATCACGATTTTCTTTCAGTATCACCCTTCCCAGCCTTCACATTTCTCTGTTCCCTCACAAGGTCAAAGCTGGGCTTTCTTGGGGAGATTTAAAAATTGTGTGTTTGTGTGTCCTTGTGTGTGTGTGCATGTGTGTGTTCTCTAAGGCTTCCCCTTGAGATTTTAGAGATTTTAATTTAGTAGGTCTGGAGTGAGGCCCAGAGTTCTGTATTTTGAAAAGGATTCCAGGAAATTCTGATAGAGCCCATCCACATATCTCCATCTGGGGTCTCCATTTGGATTAATTATCTGACTCCCTTAGCCTACAGGTCCCTGCCAACCCATTGCTCCTTCTGAGAAGTACTGCCCTATGCTCAGACATCCTGGGTGCCTGAGGCACAGGTGGCCAGGTTCTAACCACTTACATGCTCCACCTCACTCTAGGCGATGGGACAGAGTGAGCACCTGATCCAAGGGGAGCCTGGCTGGCAGCCTCCAAGGAGGCACGTTGCAAAGGCTCTGCCTGAACACAGATGATGGGGCTTGAGGTCTAATCTTATTTTCCTTCTCTGGGAACCTGAATATTTAATGAAAGAGATGTCAGAAAGTGGCTAGGAAAAAAACAGAAGGGAAAACACAGAGAGGCAGCAATGGAGAATGGCCTAAACCGCATTACTGTGGCACACAAAATGGAAAATCATGGAGCTCCTGTTGCTGCGGGGTGAACGAACCATCTTCCTGCCTACAAGTTGGACTTGATTCTCCTGTTGCCCCCAGGCCTTCCTGGATTCTGGGATGTTTTGTCTTCTCAAATGGCCCCCGTATGAGGGCACCCACCTTTCTTGAGGAAATGAGTGACTCTTTGTTCCTGGCAACCAAAATCCCTAATGATCAGAGACTTAGAAACTTATGTTATGTTAGCTAGTGGCCCTCACTCCTATAACCCAGTGGTCCCCAACCTTTTTGCCATCAGGAGCTGGTTTCATGGAAGACAATTTTTCCAGGGACCAGGAGTGAGGGGGATGGTTTCAGGATGATTCAAGTGCATTACATTTTTGTGCACTTATTTTCTATTATTATTACATTGGAATATATAATGAAATAGTTATACAACTCACCATTGTATAAAATCAGTGGGAGCCCTGAGCTTGTTGCCCTGTAACTAGCTGTTTGCATCCTGGGATGATGTGAGACAGTGACACATCATTGGGCATGTACGCAGTTCACAATAGGGTTCCCGTGTCTAAGAGAATCTAATGCCACTGCTGATCTGACAGGAGGAGGAGATCAGGCTGTAGTATGATGGAGCAGCCGTAAATACAGATGAAGCTTCACTCGCTCGCCTGCTGCTCGCCTGTTGCTGTTGTGGCCTGGTTCCTAACCGGGGTATCAGGAGCCCTGTTATAGTCCCTTTATCAAGATAATTCACAGGACTTTTAGAAGGAAGAACAGCGATAAGAATTTCAGCTATGTTCATGATAGAAACCCCCTCTAGGGCAGGTGTGGGGGGGGGGTTCCTTTAAGTTCCCATCAACTCATTTCATGTGCTAGCTATAGGCACTGGTGCGTCTCGCAGCTGGAAGTGGTAGAGACAAATTAGTCAAAGGAAAGGTGGCTGGACTTCATCTTTGGCTTTCTAGGTATAGACGTTTCCTCATGGAGATCCTCTTGAAGTCTGTAGTAGATGAGTCCACTTGGGAAACCAAATTATAATTAGCAAATACTTTTAAATTTATAATGGGAAAGAATAATGACGAAAAACCTGTATGGTGAGCTTAAATGAGGACAGTGAGCTATGCAGTGTGAATGTTTAAGAGTACTGGGCTAAAATAAGATGGTGCATCTACGATGCTCCCTAGAAACCTCAGGGTAGGAACTGAAACATTAGAAACCCGACTCTCTCCCTAAGAAGTACTCTAAAGTGCCACGATTAATTTTTGCCTCAGTGATTCTTATTTTGCTAAGCTTGTTAGGGGGCCGATCCACTCTTCATTAAATTGCCCATTCTTTATTTTTAAAAAATTTTAAAACTTACAAGTAATAACCGTACACATTTGTGGGGTACTTAGTGATATTTTGATACATATAGTGTACAGTGATCAGATCAGGGTAAATAGGATATCTGTCACCTCAAGAATTTATTATGTTTTTATGTTGGGAACATTCAATATCCTCCTTCCAGCTATTTGAAATCATATATATGTATACACACATATTTTTATATACATACAGTATAATATGTATATGTGTGTATATGTATATATATATACATTTTATTTTTTATCAGGCAACCTATTTCTTTTTTTTAAAGATAACTTTTAAGTTCAGGGGCACATGCATTTGTTTGTTACAGAGGTAAACCTGTGTCATGGGATTTGTTGTATAGATTATTTCATCACTCAGGTATTAAGCCTAGCACCCATTAGTTATTTTTCCTGATCCTCTCCCTCCTTCCACCCTCCGCCCTCCAATAGGCACCAGGATATATTGCTCCCCTCTATATGTACATGTGTTCTCATCATTTAGCTCCCACTTGTAAGTGAGAACATGCAGTATTTGGTTTTCTATTCCTGTGTTAGTGAAACTGTATATTATTGTTAAATATAGTCATCCTACAGTGCTATAGAATACTAGAATTTATTCCTTCTGTCTAGCTGTAATTTTGTACCCCTTAACAACTCTCTACTTTCCTCCTACCCTTCCCAGCAGCTAGTATTCCTGTTCTACTTTTTACTTCTATGAGATCAACTATTTTTACCTTCCACATATGAATGAGAACATGTGGTTCTTAGCTTTCTGTTCCTGGCTTATTTCACTTAACATAATGTCCTCCGGTTCCATCCCTGCTGCTGTTAACCACAGTATTCCATTTTTTTTTTATAGCTGAATAGTATTCCATTGTGTATACATACCGTATTTGTGTCATGCATTCATCAGTTGTTGAACACCTAGGTTGATGCCGTATCTTGGCTATTGTGAATAGTGCTGCAATAAACATGGGGATACAGGTGTCTTTTCAATGTAATGGTTTCCTTTCATTTGGATGAATTCCCAGTAGTGAGGTTGATGGATTACATGGTGTTCTATTTGTAGGTTGTTGAGGAACCTCCATACTGTACTCCATAGTGGCTGTACTAGCATACATGCCCACCAATATTGTCATTCTTTCTTCAAGTAAAGTAGTACAGGCAAGTTGCTATCTGTGGAGTCTGTCTGGCCTTGGAGCTATTCTGCCTTGTCTATATAATTTTG